CTTTTAATCCAAGCATGGAGAGTTGAAAGACCGAAGCAGAGACCTATCTCTGTCAATGCCGTATTTTTAGCTGCATTAAGATCATTCATTTTTTTTGGGCTGCATCCACAAACAGAACAACACTGAGAAGGTGTAGTTGCTGTAGATAATGCTGAAGCAACTTTGCCGTCCACCATCGTTATTTCAATTTTATGAAGTATTGTTAAGTTTTCACAAAATGTTAAAGACAAATTTGCAATTGAATTGTTAATAAACTGATTCTCTTGTTTCAAAATTTCAATGGTTTCTTTTTTAAATGAAAATCTTATTGGTCTGCAATATAAAGTTGAAGATGGATGTGGATTAGACCAAATTATTATTTTTTTATCATTAATGAATCCAAACAACTGAAGTGGAACAAAACAAGAAATAAACAAACTAGCTTCTTCTAAAAGATCTCTGTTTTCTTTCTCAACTGTTACTTGATTATAAATCCTTTGGCTAGTTGATCCATCGAACCCAACTTTAGAATATAAAGTCAACCTTTCAAGATCATTCATTGAATCAATAACTTGTTTCTGCAACTGTATTAGGCGTATTGCTGTATGATCGACTAATGCTTGAAAGTTTATTTCTGCTGAAAAATCATTTACAGTCCATAATGTTTTTTCAGGAAGACACTGTTCTTTAGCAGCACGAACATCATTGTAAGCAGGATAGAGATTACAACCTTTGCTCAAAGCATTATTTCTCAAGCGTTGGTAATCAGATTTGCTCATATCAATATCTAATATGAGTGCTAGAGCTTCATTTAGAGTGTTTTGAGTATGTTCTGTATCAAAAGGTTGCTTAATAGATAAACTTCGAACTACTTTTGCATCCTTTCTTCTGCTATCTTTAAAAAGATTACAACTACTAGCATACAACAGTTCATTTGATGAACAAGTTAATAAGTCCATAGCTGCTACTTTACGACTCTTTGTCTTATTTGATGAATCATCAAATAATTTTACAGGTCGACCACTAACTATAGATTCAGTTTTATTATCCTGATTTTTAAATGACTTAATAAAGTCTTTTTGAAGCCATACTGAATTATGTTTCATAAAGTTTTCATCAATTCTTTTACTTAAAGACCAACGTTTACGATACTTGGACAAAAAGGTTACAAACTGAGCATCAAATTCAGAACAGTATTCACGAATAAAATTGTAAACATAAAGTTTGTCTTTTTCATTAGACATAGATAAACCATGCTGTCTTATGAATTGATGAATTTGATATCTTGTGATGGTTGACATATTACTAATAATAATATTATTAGACTAAAATAATATAAACATTAAAAAGTTGTATTAACATATATATATATATATATATATATATATATATATATATATATATATATATATATATATATATATATATATATATATATATATATATATATATATATATATATATATATATATAAATACTTGTTATTTTGCGACAAAAGAAACTTGAAAAAGAAACATCTTTGATTTTATAAAGTATAAGTATTAAAAAGTATTATAAGTATTAAAAAAAGTAGCAGATACTAGCAGCTAAATTAATAATTTTATAAAAACATATACATATAGCCTTCAAAATATGTATAAGAGATAAAGGCAAAATAGAGCACAAATTTTTCCTTGTTGTCTTTTCAAAAAAAATTAAAAAAAAGTCCAATTTTTACCAAAAAATATATCTAAAACTGGTTTAAAATTTTTTTTTAACTTTTTTTTTTTTATAAATTTTATATATTAACAATTATTTGATATGTTAATAAAAACAGTTAACCAATATACTAAAAATTTATTACACACTTTTGCTTTTTTAAAAACTACATTTTCTCACTTTATCGCCATTTTTTTTTTGCAAAAATTTTACTTGAAATGAGTTTTTGTTGAGAATATATATTTTTTTAATTTATTGTAATTATTTTTAAGGTCCTCAATAAATCTAAGTAAAAACTTTTTAAAAAGAATTTCAGTTTTCAGACATAAATATTTTTAGTTTTGTCCACCTACTGGCCCACTGTGCATCGGACCGCTTCTGAATTTGATGCTCAGTTTGTAACCTTTTTGTCCAAGTATCGTAAACGTTGGTCTTTAAGTAAAAGAATTGATGAAAACTTTATGAAACATAATTCAGTATGGCTTCAAAAAGACTTTATTAAGTCATTTAAAAATCAGGATAATAAAACTGAATCTATAGTTAGTGGTCGACCTGTAAAATTATTTGATGATTCATCAAATAAGACAAAGAGTCGTAAAGTAGCAGCTATGGACTTATTAACTTGTTCATCAAATGAACTGTTGTATGCTAGTAGTTGTAATCTTTTTAAAGATAGCAGAAGAAAGGATGCAAAAGTAGTTCGAAGTTTATCTATTAAGCAACCTTTTGATACAGAACATACTCAAAACACTCTAAATGAAGCTCTAGCACTCATATTAGATATTGATATGAGCAAATCTGATTACCAACGCTTGAGAAATAATGCTTTGAGCAAAGGTTGTAATCTCTATCCTGCTTACAATGATGTTCGTGCTGCTAAAGAACAGTGTCTTCCTGAAAAAACATTATGGACTGTAAATGATTTTTCAGCAGAAATAAACTTTCAAGCATTAGTCGATCATACAGCAATACGCCTAATACAGTTGCAGAAACAAGTTATTGATTCAATGAATGATCTTGAAAGGTTGACTTTATATTCTAAAGTTGGGTTCGATGGATCAACTAGCCAAAGGATTTATAATCAAGTAACAGTTGAGAAAGAAAACAGAGATCTTTTAGAAGAAGCTAGTTTGTTTATTTCTTGTTTTGTTCCACTTCAGTTGTTTGGATTCATTAATGATAAAAAAATAATAATTTGGTCTAATCCACATCCATCTTCAACTTTATATTGCAGACCAATAAGATTTTCATTTAAAAAAGAAACCATTGAAATTTTGAAACAAGAGAATCAGTTTATTAACAATTCAATTGCAAATTTGTCTTTAACATTTTGTGAAAACTTAACAATACTTCATAAAATTGAAATAACGATGGTGGACGGCAAAGTTGCTTCAGCATTATCTACAGCAACTACACCTTCTCAGTGTTGTTCTGTTTGTGGATGCAGCCCAAAAAAAATGAATGATCTTAATGCAGCTAAAAATACGGCATTGACAGAGATAGGTCTCTGCTTCGGTCTTTCAACTCTCCATGCTTGGATTAAAAGCATGGAATGTCTTCTTAAAATTAGTTATAAATTGACAGTGAAAAAGTGGGCTACAAGAACTATATCTGAAAAGAAAATTATTCAAGAACGAAAACAGAAAATCCAGATAAGGTTTCGTGATGAAGTTGGACTGATAATTGATATGCCAACATCTGGTGGCTCTGGGTCTTCAAATAATGGAAACACTTCTAGAAAATTTTTTCAGAATGCAGAGAAGTCTGCTCAAATTCTTGAACTTGATGTCAGTATGATAAAGATGTTGCATGTGATTTTGTGTACATTGTCATCTAACTTTCTAATTGATTCTTCACTATTTAGAGAATACTGCTACAAAACAGCTGAGAAGTATGTAATCCTTTATCCATGGTATCATATGCCACAGAGTCTGCATCACATTCTTATTCATGGTTGGCAAGTTGTAGAGAGAATGGCTTTGCCTATTGGCATGCTCAGCGAAGAGGCACAAGAAGCTCAAAATAAAAATTTTAAGAAATTTCGAGAATCATTTTCTAGAAAGTGTTCGCGTTCCAAAACAAACAAAGATTTATTAAGGCGACTAATGTGTTCTTCTGACCCTTTGATAAGTAGTTTGAGAAAACCCCATCATCCTAAGAAAAACGCTCTTCCAAATGGAGTTTTTGATCTTCTTAAAGAGGTTCCAATTTTTGACTAAGTGTTAATGACATAGTTTTGATTTTCGTTGGTGTTTAAGATGGTGTTTACTTTATAAGTATTTAATATTTACATAATAAAATAATGAATATAAAAGTTTGTTTTCTTATATATTCGTTATAAAATTTTTTGTATCTCTAATTGCATAAAAACTTGCTTATTTTTATATGGTTGCTAAGGGTATCTAAACTACACAGTTAAAATTTAATTAACTGTTCCTGTAAACCTTTATAGTTAAGAGTGTTTTAAAAGTTTTTATTTCATTTTTTAAAGAAATTTTGAATTAAGAAAAAGTTTCAAAAAAAATTACCAACTGGTTTCTAAGAGCACATAACAGCATAGTAACACCAAAAATTGATAATTTTTTGTTTGTGTTATCATTCAAATACATAAAATAGCAATGTAGCATTAATATCAGTTTAGTTTATAACTTTGATATTTTGAGAAAGTCTTTTTATTTAGGTAACTATGCAAAATGCCTGTTGACATGAAATGTAGGTATCCATGGCAACCAAATAAACAATCTAATGGTGCCATTAGATTTGTTATATGAAATATACTCAAGCTGCTAATTATGGGAAAAACCTGATAAATATTTTAAAAGTTATTAATTTTGTCCAGCTAATAATGATTTTGGCCCACTGTGCGCTGTTGAAAATTTAGCGTTTTGCTGCCATTGGTCCGCTGTTGAATCACCTAAAGCTTGCTACTAACCGTCCCATGTAAATAAGATGTGCAAGCCAACGCGGCAACATAGCGGGCGGCCGACGTTGGCACGGCATAAGTGCTGACAGCGGTCCGTTATCGGTCCGACTACTTAATGTTTGCTGGGTAACAGTGTAAGCATTTAAAAAGTAAGGAATTAGTTTTTTAAATTTAAAAAAGGCAAAGAGATGGTTGCATAATTTTCTTCTTATTTATGCAGCTAGAAGCTGGAAGAAAATTAGGCAACCTAATAAAATTCGTTGGCAGGGGGGCTCGACACCCCTACGCCCCCCTGTCTCGGGATGGCTCTGATCGTGTTAATCAAAAAAAAACTAACTTTCTGCTTTTACAAGAATTCAAAATTTACAAGACATATTTTTATAAACAAAAACAACAACACTAAACAATTACATGGTTAGCTTATCAAACTGATAAAGACCAAGTCCTTCACCACATCTCTTTGCATTAGTGATTAAATTAGAAATTTTTTTAATTGATTCAACTTGCTCTCGTAAAAATCGTTTTGTTAAAAAATCATGTAAATGAGGATCTTGATGGCTATTAGCGATTCCGTCTAGATTTAATATTGCGTCGTTAACTTTTTTTTTCAAATTAAATGCTTCTTCTAAAGCGTTGTTCGGCGTTATCCACTCGTCCATAGGAGCTTTTATGTCATCTATAACAACTAACCCGCCGCGAAGGTTTTGATATTTTATTAGCTAAAATTTAATAAATTTAATATTAGCTAAAAGTTAATAAATTCAAAAAGTAAATTAAAAAAAAAAAACTAAAGTAAAAAAAAAACGCAAAAAAAAAAAAGTTTGATAAAAATAAAGTCGATGTTTTTGTTAAAGTATAAAATTTTTATTTTTTAAACAAATTACAAGAGAATTTATACAGACGAGTAATAAAAATATAAAAGAAGTTTTTTTAAAAAAAAAAAAAAAAAAAGAGTATAATTATCTATATTTATTGTAAAAAAAAATGTTGTTTTTTTTAAAAACAAACAAACAACAACAAGATTTTTTTTAATTTAACAAACTTTTTCTTAATGCCCTGACCTCCTCTGCATGAGCACGCTCCTCATCAGAAAGTCCTTTGAAAAACTTCGAAAAACCTGGAAGTGCAATATTGCCACGATCAAAGTGATAAGCCTTAAAAAATAATATTTTATTAAACTAATACTTGACAATTAATTGACTTTTCTCTAATTTTTTTTAATATTTTAATGCATGCTTTTTCATTACCTGCATAAACATTGGAACAATAGGTTTAACGAAAAAGTTTTTGCTACATTTACGTCCGAAGTTCAAAAAAAAATAAATTAAATTACCATTCTCAAATAAATATAGCTAGCATAAAGCTGAATGTTAATTTGCTTGTTGATAGCAGCCTCACTTTTTTCGTGAAAGTTTTGTCTGTGGGAATCCATTGTTGATAATCAGGTATTCAATAAACGAAGTAGCTTGATTAACGTTTCGTGAGAATTTATATTCGACAATCACGTGTATTAATTAACATTGAGGTTTTATTGGTAATTGTTTAAATAGATCGTTGACAATTTGTTTATAATTAAAAACCACTAGAGGTTAAAAGACGTCACTCAACACAATATAGCTCAAACTAATAACTACGCATAAAAGCAAATTTATTAAAATTCTAATAAAAATTAGTATCAATTCTATATAAGGTTTTTTAAGGGAGTACAAATCTTAACTTAAATATTTGCAAGTCTTTAAGCGACTTGTTTTTTAAATGACAGATGCAGACCGATTACTGTCTGCATTTCTCTAAGTTATCTCTAACTCGACTACTTCCGACATTTACTTAATATTTTCCAATTCTTCTATTCTCGATCTTTGAAGGTGGTTAACGATACTTTTTAGTGATTATTATGATGCTCTTAAGGGATTCTTTAGTACTTGTCCTCTGCAAATCTTGGTATGCGGGCTTCGTACGGTAATTAGCCAGATAAAGAGGTTAAATCAAAATTCTTGAATAAGATTTCTTTTTTAAAAAAAAAAATAAAAACTTTTATTTTAACATCTTTCAAATACCTCAGATTAATTTTTTTTTCCCTTGAAAAAAGCGTATTGTTCAGAAATCAAGAAAAACTTTATTTGCACCAATGAATGAAGAGTAAAGTTTTATTGCATTTTACTAGTCTTTACTAGCAAAAAAAAGGTTGATAATGAATCTTGTGGGAATTATTTTAATCATTTTTCGTTACCTTAAATACTCATAAAGGTCTTTAGCGAAGAAGTTCGTTAAAATTTGATTTAATCTCTTTAATATTTAATACTACTATTATATTTATAAAGACCTATCCAAAAGTTATTTAAGAACACTGTTTGAAAAAAAAATTCTTAAACGTCCATGGAAAATCTTTTTTTATAGATCTTAATTTTTACTCTTATAAAATTCGCAGTGCAGCAGTAGCTTTAAAAATAGCTCATGGTACACTGTCAATATAATTTCTTGTTTAAAATAGAAATTTTAAATTATGCTAAACAAAAAATTTTTTTTTGACAAATAAAAAATTAGGACTATATAAAATCTTTCTTAAAACAAAACTAAATAAATAAAAATATGACTTAAATTTTGAAAGTAAAAAAGTTTTTTTTTATTACAAATTTAGTATGTTTGCTGTGATTAAGTATATCTTAATCACAGCAAACATACTAAATTTGTATTATCTGCAAAAGAAAAAAGTTTTTCTCGTACAAAGATATTTTTTTTGATTATATCAAATTTGGTATATTAAACTTGTTGGCTAAGCAAAAGGCCCATTACTTTGATATCACAACAGATGACCTAATTATGCTCCTTGTAATTGATCTTTTTATGTTATTATAACTTTCTTCAGTACTATTAAATATCCAATGGGAATACAATTAGTTTATTGACATCGTGAAGCAGGACATATTTTAAACTCCTTTCGGAGCTGTCAATAGAAAGTCTCCATTTAGGTGAGTTATATCTTCTTCAAGTGAGTTATAATGACCCATTTTCGAATCAGAGAAAAAATGTTTTACAAAAATGCAGAATACAAAAATACAGAATACAAAATCATCTTCTTTTTAAAACAGTGATATTAATTCTTTCTCTCGATTTCTGTAAAATGAAAAAGTCATTCGTTGAGCTAGCAAGTTTTTTTCAAATATTATTGAACCTAAATCAACTGTTTCAGTTGAGAGGTCTAAATCTTTGATCAAGTTGTTGAACTTGCATTGAGAAAACAGCTGTGGTAACAATAATCTTTTAGCGATATCCAAGTACTCAGAAACATCACTATTATAGGATTTAGTGAATGTGAAAATTTTATTGATTTGCAGGCTATAAGTCAAAAAAAAATTAACAAAATCATTAATTTGCAATCTTATATAGCATACAAAAAATAGAAATAGATAATTTGTTTTTAAAATTTGTCCAGCAACCTAGCTCAAACAAAAATAACAATCACTGTAGTAATTTCTCAAATCTCTCTAAATCATTGAAATACCTAAAGTTAATCATTTTTCTTTTTTCTTTTTCCACTGTTTTAGATTTTCAACACATGGTCTTCAAACTGAGCGAAAAGCATAATAATTGTCTTTATCTCCTAATTTTACTCCAAAGTAAGCTTAATGCGCCTTTTTAGTAAACTCTGAGATTGTTGAGCGTTGCTTTTGGAGTTGTAAATGAGCCATATTTGTAACAAAATTAATTTGGATCAGTTTTACGTTTCCGACATTTAGATAATTTTTTGTTTTAATTTTCGCAACCTGAAAATCAATAAAATATTTTTATTTGTTTGAAGTAATAAGCATAAAAAGTATACTTTTATTTATTAAAAAAATTAAATCAATTCTATCTAATCAAGTCTATTTATTCTCTAATCAAGTTTATTTATTAACTAAGATTTTGATATATGATTAATTAAAATAAAAATATTTCATGTCAAGTGAATGGATGAATGAATGAAAAATATTTTATGCTAAGTTAATTTAAAATAATAAAATTTTTCATTTTTTATATTTATAATGTTTACCAATTTTTCAACGTATTTAAAAATACGTTGAAAAATTGGTAAACATTATATATATATATATATATATATATATATATATATATATATATATATATATATATATATATATATATATATATATATATATAAAAGAAATGTCCAGATTTTGATTTTTTTTTGGATTTTTTTTGATAGGGGTTAATGGTGTTTACTTTTTGTTGTTTATGTGCAATTTAACTTCCTGTCATTCATTTTTTGTCATAGATTAGGAAAATTTATAAAATATATTTACCTTAAAATAACTTAAGTAATAAAATTTCAGTTGTTTGTAAGTTATTTTTTTCAATTTTGAAGTTATATAATAACTTAAATAATGTTGTAGTTATTTTAGGATTTATAATGGGTAAAGCTAGTGATATTTCCTCTAGTAAATATGCAAAAGTAGCTCTTCTGCAAGAAATATGTTACATCCAAAGAAATATTGCCAAAATTGTCAAGGCTACAGTCAGAAGAACAAAGTCTAAACTTGAATTGGGGGTTAAATTATAAGCGCAGAAAAAGAGTTACAAGTGAAGAATGACAGAAAAGCAAAAAAAGTTATTGAACAAAGTTGTAAGATATCAGCAGCTTGTTGCATGCCTGTCCTGACTTTGCATTTAACAAGTAAACAGAAACTCACAGATCGACTGATTGAAGTATGGCACCGAGATCCAGATGTTAAAGCATTGACCTCAAAGTGCGTAAATAGTATTCCTAGGCGTTTTAAAGCTTTTTTAGAGTCAAAAGGAATCACTACCAAGTATTAAGTTTTATAATATGCTTTTTATATATCAATAAATAGATTATAAAAAAATTAATAATTTGTGATTGCTTGTAGTGAATTTTGAACATACCAAAAAGACGAAAAATATACATAATGGTTTGTGCAAAAACTGATACAATTTTTAAATTTTACACCCCAAATGAGCTAATTTTACGTTGTTTACTTTTGTTGTTACATTTTACGTTGTTTAAGGTTTTGATTTAAGATGGTGGAAAATAAAAAAATCAAGAAAACGAAAACATCAAGTCAAAAGATAACTGTTAAACTTTATAGAAATGCTGAGTAAAATCTCGACGATTGCTAAGGACAACCTCACAATCCGACAAACAAGCCACATTTTTACTCTTTCTAAGAAAGTAGAAAAACTTTATTTTCGTTGATGGTTGCTATTTTTCTCTGTATATTAGAAAATTAAAATTAGTAAATGTAGGCATCATAAGACAATTTATTTGTAAAGAAATTTCACAAATATAATTAAAATAGTAGTTTGGATTTAATGTCGTAGAGAAAAGATTTGTCACGTCATAGCGCAACTAACTCTAACATTTTTCCACTCCTCTTTATTAAGTGAATGTGTGTAACTTATACCAAGTTCTTTTAGACAAATAAAGACATCTTTAAAAATGGAATAAAAAGTTACTATAGAAGTTTTTACTATAAAACGCTTTGATTCATGGGATGAAAGACAGATATATCGTTCAGGAAAGTTTTTTCTCAGGTCTTTTAACGTCTTGCATTTTTATATTATAGATTTGTTTATAAGTATTTGGTTAGCGGCATATTTTAGCTTTTGATAAAAAATCTTATTAAAAACAATCTTTTAAAGGAATAACTTTAAAGATTCAAATAATAAAAAAAATCAAATTTTGAAAATAGTTTTTTAAAATTTATTAAAGAATACTTTTCAGAAGTTCACTTAAAAAAATTAAAATTGAATTTTAAAAGAATTCAAAGGACTTTTCAAAAATTGGAAATTTAAACAATGGAATTTTACCAAAACATGCTGCTACATAGCCTAAGGCTTTTGGGATGAGGCAGCATATATATATATATATATATATATATATATATATATATATATATATATATATATATATATATATATATATATATATATATATATATATATATATATATACATATATATATATATATATATATCGTTATTTTCTAAAAAAAGTCTTACATATCTTAAAATTATATATATATAAAACCGTGCTCCTCTGCCCCTCTCCCCCCTTTTTTCCCGGTGCCGTTGGTCATAACTTTTATGATAAAAAAATAAGGTAAACTAAAAGAACTACTAAAAAATAAAAAAATAGATCAAAAACTCAAACAAAAGTAATTTAAAATATATATTATTTCATTATATATTAAACAATAAGAATAAAAAATTTAATTTAAAACTCATTTTTTAAAAAAAGTTTCAAACAAAAAATAAATAAAAATAATCTAGTTGATTTTTTAAAGTCGATTCTGACAAGTTAGATGTCCTAACTTCAATAAGTGAAATCAATTTAACTAATTTTTTTTGTTTTAAAATAATCGAATTAGACTGTAGTCTCAGATAAGACTTATTTTCAAACCTTATTTTGAAATTTTTTCAAACCTCATTTTGAAATTTTTTTTTTCAAACCTCATTTTGAAATTTAAATAATAATTTCTTGATTACACTTTTTCAAAGCTTTTCGATTAACCACATTTCTGACGAAGAGAACGACAGCCTCTTTTTTTTAATACCGTCATGACTTTGTAAAGCTTGTCTGAAGTTTCATTTTTGATACCTAAATTATTAAATAAAATTTTTCTTATTACTAAAAATAAGAACTACATTTTTTTAAGAAAAAAATGTTTTTAAACAAATGCAAATTTCAAAAGTATTTTTATTCTTTTATTTAAGTCATCACTCACGAGTGCATTGATGTATTCCATAATTAAACGAATAACCAGCGGCACACGTGCACTGATAACCACCAGCATAATTTTCGCATTTTGCATTTGGACCTAAACACCACGTTAAACACTCGTTGACATCTAAAAGAAATAAAAACAAAATTTATCAAGTTTCATCTTTAAAAAGTTATCAAATAGTGTCATTGAAGATAAGCACCAGTCATGCTAAAAAGTAATATCTTATTTTGAGATAAATTACAAAGGGCGCGCTATTAGAACAAAGACTTAAAACTTTTTTTTTAATTTAAGAAATAAATGATTGAGTTTATTGCATTTTTTAATTTAAAGTTTCTTGATTTAACTGATCATTTTATGGGTGTAAACCAAGGTTCTGTTTAAAAATTTGTCTTAATGAAGTTGCAAATAAGCCAAGTTACAACAATCGACGTCTAACCAACTTTCCTGTACTTCGCTCAACAATTTCTTTCACTCTGGCAATATTTGCTGCTGACCGAACTTGATGTGGAAAAATTAGTGTCTTTAAATCGAATCTAATTAACCCAAAGTTGTAACAAAAGACTCTTTATATGGTCTTGATATTTAAAAGCTGTTGATTGAATCAGCCACTTTGATAGTTACAGCAAAGTTTAGAAACCTTAGTACAGGTAGGTATGCCAGCTAAGGTTTAGTACTATTCGCCAGCTCCAAAACAGTTAAAATGACTTTTAAAGCTGTATCCTCATTAGGAGATAAAGGAGATAAATTAGGAGAGTTGTAAGACTTTCAATAACACTATCAAGAAGGAAAAAACCAGTGGGTAGAGTCAAGAAGATTCAGTGTGTTACATTGTTTTCTTCTAAGAATGCCTATCCTAGGCAGAAAACAATGTAACACAGATTTATATATGCATGTCAGCCTAATAAAGAAGGTCAACAGAACTTTTTTTAAGTCTTTGTCTAAGAAGCATTCTATAAATCAGTAGCTGGGTACAGTTAACGTCTATTTAAGGCGAGAACTCTCATTGAGACACCAATTCTAGCCTTTAGTCAACTAGGAACCCAAGGTAGAGGTCTTTTAAGTCAGAGTTAACTTCTCCTAGCCTTGCCAAGAAAAAAAATCCTACAGGGCAGCATGATATGGGCATGTTGTACAGATTACATGTTGCCAACAGCAGGTTTTTTTTGGGGTTTAAATCAAGTGAATAGCACAGTTACAGAGCAAGAACATTAATTACATTTTCTCGGATCCTTACTTTAAAGTATTTTACCTGACAAATTGACAAATTGACCTGTAATACATAAAAATATCAAAATTTTTTCTTCAAAATTGCAAATATAATTCAAAATAGTTTGCAGAAGTAACTCACTTTGTTGTAAAAAGTGAAAACCAGCTGTTGGTACCAGCACAACTGTTGGCACCAGCACAACTATTGGTACCAGAACAACTGTTGGCAACAGCACAACTGTTGGCAGTCCCTGCACTCCAAATCATAAATATACAATAATTTATACTATATAATTTAATTATTTGACAAAATAAAATTTTATTACTTGTTACCGTTAATCCAATATGTTTAACCATAGAAAAAAGTTTTCTTTATTATTTTAAATTAACAACAATCAAAATTTTAAAAATTTTCTTTAAAGTTTTAAAAAAATTAAAATTTAAATTGATCACTATACATAAATTTTCATCTTTTTAACTTATTTATTATTTAAATTTTGTCCAGTTTAAAATTTGGTCCAAATAAAGTGAACATATATTCAAAAAAAAGTTTAAAATAAACTCTGCTGAAAAGTATTAACTTTTAATATGCAATTATAGTATTAAGTTTGTCAATTTGTCAAACAATGAGAGTCATACAAGTTTATTACACTGAGAGATTTAGAAGCATCAACTTTATTTTATTACAAAATAAATTAATTTTGACCAATTCGAGATAGCAACAACTTTTTTTTTTTACCAAATGACCATAATTTAACACTTAAGTTTTTAACTATCTCAGTTTAAAAATTGAACCCAAAATTTGAAATTGCACACAAATAAATTATATGCAAACCTTCACATTTTTTTTCCAATGATATTGTATAGCCTTTAGGACAGACACATTTAGGTTGTAAAGGAAAGTTAACACTAACACAAAAGCCATTAGCTGGATTGCATATATATTCATTTATCATTCCTTGGCATTCATTTACAACTAAAAAAAAGTAATAACAATAAATAAAATTATATATTATTTCTTCTTATAAATAATATAAGAAGAAATTAAATAACCCTTAAATTAAATAACTTAACTATGAAACAAAAATAAAAAATTTTTTAAAAGCAAAAAAATTGTGTTATGGATGAACCCAATTTTTCCTTAAATAATTTAGTACTTAAAATTAACTACTTCAAACGTTTTCCATTGTGTTTAAACTTATGCTTGCTTTTATATATATATACATATATATATATATATATATATATATATATATATATATATATATATATATATATATATATATATATATATATATATATATATATATATATATATATATATATATATATATATATATATATATATGTATATATGTATATATATATATATATATATATATATATATATATATATATATATATATATATATATATATATATATATATATATATATATATATATATATATATATATATATATATATAAACGATAAATATATGTTTATACAAATATATTTATAAACATATAAATAAATATATTTTTGTATTTGTAATATTCTGTAATTTTAAAAGCTTTTTAATTTAAAAGACCTTCACACATCATTGATGATGAGTTAAAAATTGTTCCAAACAAGCACTGACATTCATAAGAACCAATTTTGTTCACACAGTTCAAATCTCCACATGGTCTTTGTGAACATTCATCAAAGTCTAAAAAATGTAAAAAAAAAAATTGTAAAACATATATAAAGCTTATTGTTGAGAATTTAACAAAAAACAAGATTGGATATTAATTGTACCAACACAGCTGATATTGTTGCTACCCAAAACCCAACCAGGTTTACATTTGCACTCATAGCTCCCATTAAAGTATAAGCAAAGACTGTTTGACCAATTGCAAGGATTTGCAACAATGCATTGATTACCTAAAATTATTGTGCTATTATAAATTAAGTACAAAAAAAAAGTTTATTAAGCAAAACAGAAAAAATTTTATATTTACTTAAAAAAATGTTTCGATAGAAAAATCTTGTAAATATTTTTAAACTTAAATGCCTTGATTTTATTGATTAGGCTGGGGCCTAGCTTGATAAAGCTTGATAACGCCTAAAGTTTTGATTTAGCCCTAGTTTAATAATGAACATTTATAACTTTTCAAGTTGTAAAGATAATAGTGAAAACTTCACGAGAGATTAGATTTAATGTAATTATATGTGACAAATTGTCTAAATATCATTTCTTGAATTATACTCTGTGTACAAATCTTATTTTAACTTTAAGTGGTTTAAAATTATATATATAAAAATTAAATAATATGCATATTTTTTTTCAAAATTTATAATTTGGAAAAACACATTCTATATCTCTTATACTATTTGAAAGTAGACAAACATCTAAAAAGATTTTTTTGTTATGAAATTCAATAAATATGAAATAGATTCATAACAGAACACAACTAAATTATTAATGTAACAAAAGAGTTTTTGTTTAGTATAGTACATTCATTAATATCTATAAACCTTTACAGAAATGAAAAACATAATTTGTACAAATTAAACTATTTGAACAAAAAATAACAAATAATTGTCAAAAAAAAAAAAAAAAAGAAGTTTAAAAAATACAAAATGTTGAATATGAAAGCTATGCATAAAAAAATCCTGCTTTCAAATGACTTGAATCAAAGCGATGAAAAAAAAAAAAGATCTGTTAAGAATAGATTCAATAATAGGCTATAATTTCTTCAATATTTTTAGTGTAAAAAATAACTAGTGAAACTCTAAAATAGTATGAAACGGTTAAAAAGTAATAGCTTTAATTTTTATTCATTATTTTTTTATCTTACTAATTTTACAGTTCGTTTTTTTTTTCACATAATTCAAATTGATTATTATGATCAATACTGATTCTTACAAATTTTGAACCACCAAGACATTGATTTTAAACTACCAAGACAAAAAACTCTAACTCTTATCACTACCTCTAACTTATTTTCTTCAGTATAATTTCAAAAAAATCTTATCATATTTAATCCTATAGTTAACTAAAAAACCCGCCTGTAAACAAAAACCTGTGAAATCAGTGAAATTTCTGTTTAAACAACATTCCTAACAACTTCTAATTATTCTAATTAAATTCTAGATTAACTAATTAATCCAATTCTAATTAAAAAAATTAAATTAATAGTTCTTATTTAAAAAAAACATTTATTTTTTTAATAGAAAAAAATTTAACTAATATTATAATTAAAATCATTACAATGAGTTATTAATAATAACCATTAATAATAGTAAAATTATTAATATTATCATTAATAATAATAGTATTATATTATTATTAATAATAATAATAATAATAATAATAATAATAATAAAATATATATATATATACATATATATATATATATATATATATATATATATATATATATATATATATATATATATATATATATATATATATATATATATATATATATAAATATATATATATATATATATATATATATATATATATATATATATATATATATATACTTATATATATATATATATATATATATATATATATATATATATATATATATATATATATATATATATATATATATATTATATATACATATATACATATATATATATATATATATATATATATATATATATATATATATATATATATATATATATATATATATATATATATATATATATATATATATATATATATATATATATATATATATATATATATACATATATATATAAACTAAAATAAGATAAAACTACATCTACTTTATAATTCTTTTATAATTTTTGTATAAAAAAACACATATGTTTTCATATGATGTATAATAAGCTATGTACACTGAAAATATAAATTATTACCAACACATAATTCTGAAAGTGATTCGATTTCACCCTTAGTTGTATTGAAACCACTTTTACATAGGCAATTGTACCCACCAATTGAATTATTACAAATAGCATTAGAAGAGCAATTGTTTTTGGTTGACAATTCACATTCGTTAATGTCTATAAAAAAAAAAGATATTTAATTTTAAAAATCTTTATTCAAATTTAACTATTGCAATAATCTTTAAACAAAAAGTAAAAAAAAATCTTAAATTGTATGCAGAGTTAGAAAAAAAAAAAAATTAAAAAAGAGTACAGATGTAAAACATAATTTAATTATACTTAGATAAATAATCAAAATATAATATAATAATAAAAATCAAATAATAAAATCATCATGTAAAGCATATTGTAAGGTTCAAAGATAAAAAGGAAATCAATTTCCACATAAAATATAAGTCAAGGCATTCAACAAAATCACAAAAACAGTCCGAATCAGCTTTAAAATAGTTGTGAGAGTTACATAGATGTGGTATTACAATGATAAAAATGAATGAAATTAAAGTTTTAGAAAAATAAAACTTTGGTATAACAATGATGAATAAAAAATGAAAGTAAAAATTTAGAGAAATAAAACTGTGATCAGAAACACCTAAGATAAATACAGAAAAACTGAGCACTGACTAGAATCAGAAACAAAACAAAATATAAAAAAAATTGAAAAAGATTAAATTAAAAAAAACAACTGAGCATTCATATCTGATTTGCCAATGAATAGAGCAATTGTTTTTGTTTGAAAAAACACATTCATTAATATCTATAACCATAAAAAAATGTATTAGTTGTAAAAGTTTATACAGCACACTCAAACAGAAACTATTGTATCATAAAAATGCAATGCTGTTCAAAAAAATATAAAAAATAAAAAACTGACAACGAAAAATAACTCATTAATAATCGCTTATATTACCCAGACACTGATCGGAAAGAGATTCTATTCCTCCGTTACTTGTATTGAACCCACTTTTACATGTGCAGTTGTATCCACCAACCAAATTATTACATATGGCATTAGCAGAGCAGTTGTTTTTCGTTGACAATGCACATTCGTTAATGTCTATAACCAAAAAAAGATATTCGATTTCAGAAATCTTTATTCAAATTTAACAATTTTAAAAAATTACTAAGACAAAAAAACTTTTTCCGTTCTTTTAGTTGTTTGCTATGGTTTTAAAAAGAGCTTAGAAAAAAAAGAAAACATGTTTTCCATCTCCTTTCATTCATACTGTTCTTCGAGTAAAGCTTTTTGCATGGTTTTGTTGGCACAGGCCATCGTTTTCAACCAAATTTTGCTATATTATGCTCATTTCAAAGTTCTTTTAAAGGCACATGACACAGTAGACAGTTTGCCTCAGAAAAAAATACAACACGTTTCTAGCTTTTTAAGTATATAATGCTGAAAAAATTTGCTGTTAACCAATCTTGTAATTTCGAAATGACACATTTTGATGCCGTAACAACTGTTGATAATGTTTTGAGACAATTTTCCTACAGTCTATGCTGATTATTAGGCTGCATGTAAGTAAAACGAACTTACAAAAAAATCTTTTCATCAGATCATTGCTTGTTAGACTTATTAAAACAGAAGTTAGCATGTCACAAAAACACAATGTTACTTTCGATGAAAAATGAAAACAACAATATGCTTATTATGAAAAGCTATATTACCTAGACATTGATTTGAGAGCAACTCAATTCCACCGTTAGTTGTGTTGAAACCACTTTTACACGTGCAGTTGTATCCACCAACCAAATTGTTACAGGTTGCGTTAACTGAGCAGTTGTTCTTGTTGGACAAGGCACATTCATTGATGTCTACAAACCGTTAACAAAAAATGCATTTAGTAAGAAATAATATCTTTTATATAGGAAACAAAGAACAAAATTCAATAAAAGAAACCAGTTTTAAAACAGAACTTTGAATGCGAAAAATGATGCATCAAAATTGGTACTGTTAAGTAAGTTACACCCAAATGATAGAGTAAAAATGATCTGAAAAGGCTGGAATCAATAGTGGCTCTTTATTTATGCAATGTTTAAGTGAAACTATACAAACAATGAACTGGTGATAAGTTTTTATATCTAATGCTAAAATAGCTAGTAACATAAAAAACATTTGTTCCACGTCTGAGAAACAATAAAGCATTCAACAAAGCATATCAGCATTAACAATAAACTGAAACTATTTGGCCTTGTGACGATGTGCTTATATCTCACTCAACAACAAACGCTCTGTAAGTACCGCAAAATTGTAGAAAATAGTGCACACCATAAAAAACAAAAACAAACAAAAACAAACAAAAGCAAACAAACAAACAAACAAAACAAAACAAAACAAAATCAAAAGTGTTCATTTTCATTCGACACTATTGTTATAAAAAAGTTACTTATACATAAAAGCGAAAAAAGTTGGGTAAGCGTTTTCAGTTGAAAATGTAAGCTAACTATTGCATGCATTTGTTAATTGTTCACATCTAATTTATTGCAACAAGATGTCTTTTATTTTGTGTATTTTAATAATCAACTCTTATATTTATGCGAATGTTTGTGCAAAACTTTGCTACTTTTTTATTATTTTTTCGTTGATTTCATTGAATTCAAATAAATGTGTTTACTGTGTATATATTTTATTACCGAGGCATTGGTCTGTGAGCAACTCTATTTGGCCGTTACTCGTATTGAAACCACTTTTACATGTGCACTTGTACCCACCAACCAGATTGTTACATGTTGCATTAGATGAGCAATTGTTTTTGTTTGAAAAAACACATTCATTAATATCTATAACCATAAAAAAATGTATTAGTTGTAAAAGTTTATACAGCACACTCAAACAGAAACTATTGTATCATAAAAATGCAATGCTGTTCAAAAAAATATAAAAAATAAAAAACTGACAACGAAAAATAACTCATTAATAATCGCTTATATTACCCAGACACTGATCGGAAAGAGATTCTATTCCTCCGTTACTTGTATTGAACCCACTTTTACATGTGCAGTTGTATCCACCAACCAAATTATTACATATGGCATTAGCAGAGCAGTTGTTTTTCGTTGACAATGCACATTCGTTAATGTCTATAACCAAAAAAAGATATTCGATTTCAGAAATCTTTATTCAAATTTAACAATTTTAAAAAATTACTAAGACAAAAAAACTTTTTCCGTTCTTTTAGTTGTTTGCTATGGTTTTAAAAAGAGCTTAGAAAAAAAAGAAAACATGTTTTCCATCTCCTTTCATTCATACTGTTCTTCGAGTAAAGCTTTTTGCATGGTTTTGTTGGCACAGGCCATCGTTTTCAACCAAATTTTGCTATATTATGCTCATTTCAAAGTTCTTTTAAAGGCACATGACACAGTAGACAGTTTGCCTCAGAAAAAAATACAACACGTTTCTAGCTTTTTAAGTATATAATGCTGAAAAAATTTGCTGTTAACCAATCTTGTAATTTCGAAATGACACATTTTGATGCCGTAACAACTGTTGATAATGTTTTGAGACAATTTTCCTACAGTCTATGCTGATTATTAGGCTGCATGTAAGTAAAACGAACTTACAAAAAAATCTTTTCATCAGATCATTGCTTGTTAGACTTATTAAAACAGAAGTTAGCATGTCACAAAAACACAATGTTACTTTCGATGAAAAATGAAAACAACGATATGCTTATTATGAAAAGCTATATTACCTAGACATTGATTTGAGAGCAACTCAATTCCACCGTTAGTTGTGTTGAAACCACTTTTACACGTGCAGTTGTATCCACCAACCAAATTGTTACAGGTTGCGTTAACTGAGCAGTTGTTCTTGTTGGACAAGGCACATTCATTGATGTCTACAAACCGTTAACAAAAAATGCATTTAGTAAGAAATAATATCTTTTATATAGGAAACAAAGAACAAAATTCAATAAAAGAAACCAGTTTTAAAACAGAACTTTGAATGCGAAAAATGATGCATCAAAATTGGTACTGTTAAGTAAGTTACACCCAAATGATAGAGTAAAAATGATCTGAAAAGGCTGGAATCAATAGTGGCTCTTTATTTATGCAATGTTTAAGTGAAACTATACAAACAATGAACTGGTGATAAGTTTTTATATCTAATGCTAAAATAGCTAGTAACATAAAAAACATTTGTTCCACGTCTGAGAAACAATAAAGCATTCAACAAAGCATATCAGCATTAACAATAAACTGAAACTATTTGGCCTTGTGACGATGTGCTTATATCTCACTCAACAACAAACGCTCTGTAAGTACCGCAAAATTGTAGAAAATAGTGCACACCATAAAAAACAAAAACAAACAAAAACAAACAAAAGCAAACAAACAAACAAACAAACAAAACAAAACAAAACAAAATCAAAAGTGTTCATTTTCATTCGACACTATTGTTATAAAAAAGTTACTTATACATAAAAGCGAAAAAAGTTGGGTAAGCGTATTCAGTTGAAAAAGTAAAGCTAACTATTGCATGCATTTGTTAATTGTTCACATCTAATTTATTGCAACAAGATGTCTTTTATTTTGTGTATTTTAATAATCAACTCTTATATTTATGCGAATGTTTGTGCAAAACTTTGCTACTTTTTTATTATTTTTTCGTTGATTTCATTGAATTCAAATAAATGTGTTTACTGTGTATATATTTTATTACCGAGGCATTGGTCTGTGAGCAACTCTATTTGGCCGTTACTCGTATTGAAACCACTTTTACATGTGCACTTGTACCCACCAACCAGATTGTTACATGTTGCATTAGATGAGCAATTGTTTTTGTTTGAAAAAACACATTCATTAATATCTATAACCATAAAAAAATGTATTAGTTGTAAAAGTTTATACAGCACACTCAAACAGAAACTATTGTATCATAAAAATGCAATGCTGCTCAAAAAAATATAAAAAATAAAAAACTGACAACGAAAAATAACTCATTAATAATCGCTTATATTACCCAGACACTGATCGGAAAGAGATTCTATTCCTCCGTTACTTGTATTGAACCCACTTTTACATGTGCAGTTGTATCCACCAACCAAATTATTACATATGGCATTAGCAGAGCAGTTGTTTTTCGTTGACAATGCACATTCGTTAATGTCTATAACCAAAAAAAGATATTCGATTTCAGAAATCTTTATTCAAATTTAACAATTTTAAAAAATTACTAAGACAAAAAAACTTTTTCCGTTCTTTTAGTTGTTTGCTATGGTTTTAAAAAGAGCTTAGAAAAAAAAGAAAACATGTTTTCCATCTCCTTTCATTCATACTGTTCTTCGAGTAAAGCTTTTTGCATGGTTTTGTTGGCACAGGCCATCGTTTTCAACCAAATTTTGCTATATTATGCTCATTTCAAAGTTCTTTTAAAGGCACATGACACAGTAGACAGTTTGCCTCAGAAAAAAATACAACACGTTTCTAGCTTTTTAAGTATATAATGCTGAAAAAATTTGCTGTTAACCAATCTTGTAATTTCGAAATGACACATTTTGATGCCGTAACAACTGTTGATAATGTTTTGAGACAATTTTCCTACAGTCTATGCTGATTATTAGGCTGCATGTAAGTAAAACGAACTTACAAAAAAATCTTTTCATCAGATCATTGCTTGTTAGACTTATTAAAACAGAAGTTAGCATGTCACAAAAACACAATGTTACTTTCGATGAAAAATGAAAACAACGATATGCTTATTATGAAAAGCTATATTACCTAGACATTGATTTGAGAGCAACTCAATTCCACCGTTAGTTGTGTTGAAACCACTTTTACACGTGCAGTTGTATCCACCAACCAAATTGTTACAGGTTGCGTTAACTGAGCAGTTGTTCTTGTTGGACAAGGCACATTCATTGATGTCTACAAACCGTTAACAAAAAATGCATTTAGTAAGAAATAATATCTTTTATATAGGAAACAAAGAACAAAATTCAATAAAAGAAACCAGTTTTAAAACAGAACTTTGAATGCGAAAAATGATGCATCAAAATTGGTACTGTTAAGTAAGTTACACCCAAATGATAGAGTAAAAATGATCTGAAAAGGCTGGAATCAATAGTGGCTCTTTATTTATGCAATGTTTAAGTGAAACTATACAAACAATGAACTGGTGATAAGTTTTTATATCTAATGCTAAAATAGCTAGTAACATAAAAAACATTTGTTCCACGTCTGAGAAACAATAAAGCATTCAACAAAGCATATCAGCATTAACAATAAACTGAAACTATTTGGCCTTGTGACGATGTGCTTATATCTCACTCAACAACAAACGCTCTGTAAGTACCGCAAAATTGTAGAAAATAGTGCACACCATAAAAAACAAAAACAAACAAAAACAAACAAAAGCAAACAAACAAACAAACAAACAAAACAAAACAAAACAAAATCAAAAGTGTTCATTTTCATTCGACACTATTGTTATAAAAAAGTTACTTATACATAAAAGCGAAAAAAGTTGGGTAAGCGTATTCAGTTGAAAAAGTAAAGCTAACTATTGCATGCATTTGTTAATTGTTCACATCTAATTTATTGCAACAAGATGTCTTTTATTTTGTGTATTTTAATAATCAACTCTTATATTTATGCGAATGTTTGTGCAAAACTTTGCTACTTTTTTATTATTTTTTCGTTGATTTCATTGAATTCAAATAAATGTGTTTACTGTGTATATATTTTATTACCGAGGCATTGGTCTGTGAGCAACTCTATTTGGCCGTTACTCGTATTGAAACCACTTTTACATGTGCACTTGTACCCACCAACCAGATTGTTACATGTTGCATTAGATGAGCAATTGTTTTTGTTTGAAAAAACACATTCATTAATATCTATAACCATAAAAAAATGTATTAGTTGTAAAAGTTTATACAGCACACTCAAACAGAAACTATTGTATCATAAAAATGCAATGCTGCTCAAAAAAATATAAAAAATAAAAAACTGACAACGAAAAATAACTCATTAATAATCGCTTATATTACCCAGACACTGATCGGAAAGAGATTCTATTCCTCCGTTACTTGTATTGAACCCACTTTTACATGTGCAGTTGTATCCACCAACCAAATTATTACATATGGCATTAGCAGAGCAGTTGTTTTTCGTTGACAATGCACATTCGTTAATGTCTATAACCAAAAAAAGATATTCGATTTCAGAAATCTTTATTCAAATTTAACAATTTTAAAAAATTACTAAGACAAAAAAACTTTTTCCGTTCTTTTAGTTGTTTGCTATGGTTTTAAAAAGAGCTTAGAAAAAAAAGAAAACATGTTTTCCATCTCCTTTCATTCATACTGTTCTTCGAGTAAAGCTTTTTGCATGGTTTTGTTGGCACAGGCCATCGTTTTCAACCAAATTTTGCTATATTATGCTCATTTCAAAGTTCTTTTAAAGGCACATGACACAGTAGACAGTTTGCCTCAGAAAAAAATACAACACGTTTCTAGCTTTTTAAGTATATAATGCTGAAAAAATTTGCTGTTAACCAATCTTGTAATTTCGAAATGACACATTTTGATGCCGTAACAACTGTTGATAATGTTTTGAGACAATTTTCCTACAGTCTATGCTGATTATTAGGCTGCATGTAAGTAAAACGAACTTACAAAAAAATCTTTTCATCAGATCATTGCTTGTTAGACTTATTAAAACAGAAGTTAGCATGTCACAAAAACACAATGTTACTTTCGATGAAAAATGAAAACAACGATATGCTTATTATGAAAAGCTATATTACCTAGACATTGATTTGAGAGCAACTCAATTCCACCGTTAGTTGTGTTGAAACCACTTTTACACGTGCAGTTGTATCCACCAACCAAATTGTTACAGGTTGCGTTAACTGAGCAGTTGTTCTTGTTGGACAAGGCACATTCATTGATGTCTACAAACCGTTAACAAAAAATGCATTTAGTAAGAAATAATATCTTTTATATAGGAAACAAAGAACAAAATTCAATAAAAGAAACCAGTTTTAAAACAGAACTTTGAATGCGAAAAATGATGCATCAAAATTGGTACTGTTAAGTAAGTTACACCCAAATGATAGAGTAAAAATGATCTGAAAAGGCTGGAATCAATAGTGGCTCTTTATTTATGCAATGTTTAAGTGAAACTATACAAACAATGAACTGGTGATAAGTTTTTATATCTAATGCTAAAATAGCTAGTAACATAAAAAACATTTGTTCCACGTCTGAGAAACAATAAAGCATTCAACAAAGCATATCAGCATTAACAATAAACTGAAACTATTTGGCCTTGTGACGATGTGCTTATATCTCACTCAACAACAAACGCTCTGTAAGTACCGCAAAATTGTAGAAAATAGTGCACACCATAAAAAACAAAAACAAACAAAAACAAACAAAAGCAAACAAACAAACAAACAAACAAAACAAAACAAAACAAAATCAAAAGTGTTCATTTTCATTCGACACTATTGTTATAAAAAAGTTACTTATACATAAAAGCGAAAAAAGTTGGGTAAGCGTATTCAGTTGAAAAAGTAAAGCTAACTATTGCATGCATTTGTTAATTGTTCACATCTAATTTATTGCAACAAGATGTCTTTTATTTTGTGTATTTTAATAATCAACTCTTATATTTATGCGAATGTTTGTGCAAAACTTTGCTACTTTTTTATTATTTTTTCGTTGATTTCATTGAATTCAAATAAATGTGTTTACTGTGTATATATTTTATTACCGAGGCATTGGTCTGTGAGCAACTCTATTTGGCCGTTACTCGTATTGAAACCACTTTTACATGTGCACTTGTACCCACCAACCAGATTGTTACATGTTGCATTAGATGAGCAATTGTTTTTGTTTGAAAAAACACATTCATTAATATCTATAACCATAAAAAAATGTATTAGTTGTAAAAGTTTATACAGCACACTCAAACAGAAACTATTGTATCATAAAAATGCAATGCTGCTCAAAAAAATATAAAAAATAAAAAACTGACAACGAAAAATAACTCATTAATAATCGCTTATATTACCCAGACACTGATCGGAAAGAGATTCTATTCCTCCGTTACTTGTATTGAACCCACTTTTACATGTGCAGTTGTATCCACCAACCAAATTATTACATATGGCATTAGCAGAGCAGTTGTTTTTCGTTGACAATGCACATTCGTTAATGTCTATAACCAAAAAAAGATATTCGATTTCAGAAATCTTTATTCAAATTTAACAATTTTAAAAAATTACTAAGACAAAAAAACTTTTTCCGTTCTTTTAGTTGTTTGCTATGGTTTTAAAAAGAGCTTAGAAAAAAAAGAAAACATGTTTTCCATCTCCTTTCATTCATACTGTTCTTCGAGTAAAGCTTTTTGCATGGTTTTGTTGGCACAGGCCATCGTTTTCAACCAAATTTTGCTATATTATGCTCATTTCAAAGTTCTTTTAAAGGCACATGACACAGTAGACAGTTTGCCTCAGAAAAAAATACAACACGTTTCTAGCTTTTTAAGTATATAATGCTGAAAAAATTTGCTGTTAACCAATCTTGTAATTTCGAAATGACACATTTTGATGCCGTAACAACTGTTGATAATGTTTTGAGACAATTTTCCTACAGTCTATGCTGATTATTAGGCTGCATGTAAGTAAAACGAACTTACAAAAAAATCTTTTCATCAGATCATTGCTTGTTAGACTTATTAAAACAGAAGTTAGCATGTCACAAAAACACAATGTTACTTTCGATGAAAAATGAAAACAACGATATGCTTATTATGAAAAGCTATATTACCTAGACATTGATTTGAGAGCAACTCAATTCCACCGTTAGTTGTGTTGAAACCACTTTTACACGTGCAGTTGTATCCACCAACCAAATTGTTACAGGTTGCGTTAACTGAGCAGTTGTTCTTGTTGGACAAGGCACATTCATTGATGTCTACAAACCGTTAACAAAAAATGCATTTAGTAAGAAATAATATCTTTTATATAGGAAACAAAGAACAAAATTCAATAAAAGAAACCAGTTTTAAAACAGAACTTTGAATGCGAAAAATGATGCATCAAAATTGGTACTGTTAAGTAAGTTACACCCAAATGATAGAGTAAAAATGATCTGAAAAGGCTGGAATCAATAGTGGCTCTTTATTTATGCAATGTTTAAGTGAAACTATACAAACAATGAACTGGTGATAAGTTTTTATATCTAATGCTAAAATAGCTAGTAACATAAAAAACATTTGTTCCACGTCTGAGAAACAATAAAGCATTCAACAAAGCATATCAGCATTAACAATAAACTGAAACTATTTGGCCTTGTGACGATGTGCTTATATCTCACTCAACAACAAACGCTCTGTAAGTACCGCAAAATTGTAGAAAATAGTGCACACCATAAAAAACAAAAACAAACAAAAACAAACAAAAGCAAACAAACAAACAAACAAACAAAACAAAACAAAACAAAATCAAAAGTGTTCATTTTCATTCGACACTATTGTTATAAAAAAGTTACTTATACATAAAAGCGAAAAAAGTTGGGTAAGCGTATTCAGTTGAAAAAGTAAAGCTAACTATTGCATGCATTTGTTAATTGTTCACATCTAATTTATTGCAACAAGATGTCTTTTATTTTGTGTATTTTAATAATCAACTCTTATATTTATGCGAATGTTTGTGCAAAACTTTGCTACTTTTTTATTATTTTTTCGTTGATTTCATTGAATTCAAATAAATGTGTTTACTGTGTATATATTTTATTACCGAGGCATTGGTCTGTGAGCAACTCTATTTGGCCGTTACTCGTATTGAAACCACTTTTACATGTGCACTTGTACCCACCAACCAGATTGTTACATGTTGCATTAGATGAGCAATTGTTTTTGTTTGAAAAAACACATTCATTAATATCTATAACCATAAAAAAATGTATTAGTTGTAAAAGTTTATACAGCACACTCAAACAGAAACTATTGTATCATAAAAATGCAATGCTGTTCAAAAAAATATAAAAAATAAAAAACTGACAACGAAAAATAACTCATTAATAATCGCTTATATTACCCAGACACTGATCAGAAAGAGATTCTATTCCTCCGTTACTTGTATTGAACCCACTTTTACATGTGCAGTTGTATCCACCAACCAAATTATTACATATGGCATTAGCAGAGCAGTTGTTTTTCGTTGACAATGCACATTCGTTAATGTCTATAACCAAAAAAAGATATTCGATTTCAGAAATCTTTATTCAAATTTAACAATTTTAAAAAATTACTAAGACAAAAAAACTTTTTCCGTTCTTTTAGTTGTTTGCTATGGTTTTAAAAAGAGCTTAGAAAAAAAAGAAAACATGTTTTCCATCTCCTTTCATTCATACTGTTCTTCGAGTAAAGCTTTTTGCATGGTTTTGTTGGCACAGGCCATCGTTTTCAACCAAATTTTGCTATATTATGCTCATTTCAAAGTTCTTTTAAAGGCACATGACACAGTAGACAGTTTGCCTCAGAAAAAAATACAACACGTTTCTAGCTTTTTAAGTATATAATGCTGAAAAAATTTGCTGTTAACCAATCTTGTAATTTCGAAATGACACATTTTGATGCCGTAACAACTGTTGATAATGTTTTGAGACAATTTTCCTACAGTCTATGCTGATTATTAGGCTGCATGTAAGTAAAACGAACTTACAAAAAAATCTTTTCATCAGATCATTGCTTGTTAGACTTATTAAAACAGAAGTTAGCATGTCACAAAAACACAATGTTACTTTCGATGAAAAATGAAAACAACGATATGCTTATTATGAAAAGCTATATTACCTAGACATTGATTTGAGAGCAACTCAATTCCACCGTTAGTTGTGTTGAAACCACTTTTACACGTGCAGTTGTATCCACCAACCAAATTGTTACAGGTTGCGTTAACTGAGCAGTTGTTCTTGTTGGACAAGGCACATTCATTGATGTCTACAAACCGTTAACAAAAAATGCATTTAGTAAGAAATAATATCTTTTATATAGGAAACAAAGAACAAAATTCAATAAAAGAAACCAGTTTTAAAACAGAACTTTGAATGCGAAAAATGATGCATCAAAATTGGTACTGTTAAGTAAGTTACACCCAAATGATAGAGTAAAAATGATCTGAAAAGGCTGGAATCAATAGTGGCTCTTTATTTATGCAATGTTTAAGTGAAACTATACAAACAATGAACTGGTGATAAGTTTTTATATCTAATGCTAAAATAGCTAGTAACATAAAAAACATTTGTTCCACGTCTGAGAAACAATAAAGCATTCAACAAAGCATATCAGCATTAACAATAAACTGAAACTATTTGGCCTTGTGACGATGTGCTTATATCTCACTCAACAACAAACGCTCTGTAAGTACCGCAAAATTGTAGAAAATAGTGCACACCATAAAAAACAAAAACAAACAAAAACAAACAAAAGCAAACAAACAAACAAACAAAACAAAACAAAACAAAATCAAAAGTGTTCATTTTCATTCGACACTATTGTTATAAAAAAGTTACTTATACATAAAAGCGAAAAAAGTTGGGTAAGCGTTTTCAGTTGAAAATGTAAGCTAACTATTGCATGCATTTGTTAATTGTTCACATCTAATTTATTGCAACAAGATGTCTTTTATTTTGTGTATTTTAATAATCAACTCTTATATTTATGCGAATGTTTGTGCAAAACTTTGCTACTTTTTTATTATTTTTTCGTTGATTTCATTGAATTCAAATAAATGTGTTTACTGTGTATATATTTTATTACCGAGGCATTGGTCTGTGAGCAACTCTATTTGGCCGTTACTCGTATTGAAACCACTTTTACATGTGCACTTGTACCCACCAACCAGATTGTTACATGTTGCATTAGATGAGCAATTGTTTTTGTTTGAAAAAACACATTCATTAATATCTATAACCATAAAAAAATGTATTAGTTGTAAAAGTTTATACAGCACACTCAAACAGAAACTATTGTATCATAAAAATGCAATGCTGTTCAAAAAAATATAAAAAATAAAAAACTGACAACGAAAAATAACTCATTAATAATCGCTTATATTACCCAGACACTGATCGGAAAGAGATTCTATTCCTCCGTTACTTGTATTGAACCCACTTTTACATGTGCAGTTGTATCCACCAACCAAATTATTACATATGGCATTAGCAGAGCAGTTGTTTTTCGTTGACAATGCACATTCGTTAATGTCTATAACCAAAAAAAGATATTCGATTTCAGAAATCTTTATTCAAATTTAACAATTTTAAAAAATTACTAAGACAAAAAAACTTTTTCCGTTCTTTTAGTTGTTTGCTATGGTTTTAAAAAGAGCTTAGAAAAAAAAGAAAACATGTTTTCCATCTCCTTTCATTCATACTGTTCTTCGAGTAAAGCTTTTTGCATGGTTTTGTTGGCACAGGCCATCGTTTTCAACCAAATTTTGCTATATTATGCTCATTTCAAAGTTCTTTTAAAGGCACATGACACAGTAGACAGTTTGCCTCAGAAAAAAATACAAAACGTTTCTAGCTTTTTAAGTATATAATGCTGAAAAAATTTGCTGTTAACCAATCTTGTAATTTCGAAATGACACATTTTGATGCCGTAACAACTGTTGATAATGTTTTGAGACAATTTTCCTACAGTCTATGCTGATTATTAGGCTGCATGTAAGTAAAACGAACTTACAAAAAAATCTTTTCATCAGATCATTGCTTGTTAGACTTATTAAAACAGAAGTTAGCATGTCACAAAAACACAATGTTACTTTCGATGAAAAATGAAAACAACGATATGCTTATTATGAAAAGCTATATTACCTAGACATTGATTTGAGAGCAACTCAATTCCACCGTTAGTTGTGTTGAAACCACTTTTACACGTGCAGTTGTATCCACCAACCAAATTGTTACAGGTTGCGTTAACTGAGCAGTTGTTCTTGTTGGACAAGGCACATTCATTGATGTCTACAAACCGTTAACAAAAAATGCATTTAGTAAGAAATAATATCTTTTATATAGGAAACAAAGAACAAAATTCAATAAAAGAAACCAGTTTTAAAACAGAACTTTGAATGCGAAAAATGATGCATCAAAATTGGTACTGTTAAGTAAGTTACACCCAAATGATAGAGTAAAAATGATCTGAAAAGGCTGGAATCAATAGTGGCTCTTTATTTATGCAATGTTTAAGTGAAACTATACAAACAATGAACTGGTGATAAGTTTTTATATCTAATGCTAAAATAGCTAGTAACATAAAAAACATTTGTTCCACGTCTGAGAAACAATAAAGCATTCAACAAAGCATATCAGCATTAACAATAAACTGAAACTATTTGGCCTTGTGACGATGTGCTTATATCTCACTCAACAACAAACGCTCTGTAAGTACCGCAAAATTGTAGAAAATAGTGCACACCATAAAAAACAAAAACAAACAAAAACAAACAAAAGCAAACAAACAAACAAACAAAACAAAACAAAACAAAATCAAAAGTGTTCATTTTCATTCGACACTATTGTTATAAAAAAGTTACTTATACATAAAAGCGAAAAAAGTTGGGTAAGCGTTTTCAGTTGAAAATGTAAGCTAACTATTGCATGCATTTGTTAATTGTTCACATCTAATTTATTGCAACAAGATGTCTTTTATTTTGTGTATTTTAATAATCAACTCTTATATTTATGCGAATGTTTGTGCAAAACTTTGCTACTTTTTTATTATTTTTTCGTTGATTTCATTGAATTCAAATAAATGTGTTTACTGTGTATATATTTTATTACCGAGGCATTGGTCTGTGAGCAACTCTATTTGGCCGTTACTCGTATTGAAACCACTTTTACATGTGCACTTGTACCCACCAACCAGATTGTTACATGTTGCATTAGATGAGCAATTGTTTTTGTTTGAAAAAACACATTCATTAATATCTATAACCATAAAAAAATGTATTAGTTGTAAAAGTTTATACAGCACACTCAAACAGAAACTATTGTATCATAAAAATGCAATGCTGTTCAAAAAAATATAAAAAATAAAAAACTGACAACGAAAAATAACTCATTAATAATCGCTTATATTACCCAGACACTGATCGGAAAGAGATTCTATTCCTCCGTTACTTGTATTGAACCCACTTTTACATGTGCAGTTGTATCCACCAACCAAATTATTACATATGGCATTAGCAGAGCAGTTGTTTTTCGTTGACAATGCACATTCGTTAATGTCTATAACCAAAAAAAGATATTCGATTTCAGAAATCTTTATTCAAATTTAACAATTTTAAAAAATTACTAAGACAAAAAAACTTTTTCCGTTCTTTTAGTTGTTTGCTATGGTTTTAAAAAGAGCTTAGAAAAAAAAGAAAACATGTTTTCCATCTCCTTTCATTCATACTGTTCTTCGAGTAAAGCTTTTTGCATGGTTTTGTTGGCACAGGCCATCGTTTTCAACCAAATTTTGCTATATTATGCTCATTTCAAAGTTCTTTTAAAGGCACATGACACAGTAGACAGTTTGCCTCAGAAAAAAATACAACACGTTTCTAGCTTTTTAAGTATATAATGCTGAAAAAATTTGCTGTTAACCAATCTTGTAATTTCGAAATGACACATTTTGATGCCGTAACAACTGTTGATAATGTTTTGAGACAATTTTCCTACAGTCTATGCTGATTATTAGGCTGCATGTAAGTAAAACGAACTTACAAAAAAATCTTTTCATCAGATCATTGCTTGTTAGACTTATTAAAACAGAAGTTAGCATGTCACAAAAACACAATGTTACTTTCGATGAAAAATGAAAACAACGATATGCTTATTATGAAAAGCTATATTACCTAGACATTGATTTGAGAGCAACTCAATTCCACCGTTAGTTGTGTTGAAACCACTTTTACACGTGCAGTTGTATCCACCAACCAAATTGTTACAGGTTGCGTTAACTGAGCAGTTGTTCTTGTTGGACAAGGCACATTCATTGATGTCTACAAACCGTTAACAAAAAATGCATTTAGTAAGAAATAATATCTTTTATATAGGAAACAAAGAACAAAATTCAATAAAAGAAACCAGTTTTAAAACAGAACTTTGAATGCGAAAAATGATGCATCAAAATTGGTACTGTTAAGTAAGTTACACCCAAATGATAGAGTAAAAATGATCTGAAAAGGCTGGAATCAATAGTGGCTCTTTATTTATGCAATGTTTAAGTGAAACTATACAAACAATGAACTGGTGATAAGTTTTTATATCTAATGCTAAAATAGCTAGTAACATAAAAAACATTTGTTCCACGTCTGAGAAACAATAAAGCATTCAACAAAGCATATCAGCATTAACAATAAACTGAAACTATTTGGCCTTGTGACGATGTGCTTATATCTCACTCAACAACAAACGCTCTGTAAGTACCGCAAAATTGTAGAAAATAGTGCACACCATAAAAAACAAAAACAAACAAAAACAAACAAAAGCAAACAAACAAACAAACAAAACAAAACAAAACAAAATCAAAAGTGTTCATTTTCATTCGACACTATTGTTATAAAAAAGTTACTTATACATAAAAGCGAAAAAAGTTGGGTAAGCGTTTTCAGTTGAAAATGTAAGCTAACTATTGCATGCATTTGTTAATTGTTCACATCTAATTTATTGCAACAAGATGTCTTTTATTTTGTGTATTTTAATAATCAACTCTTATATTTATGCGAATGTTTGTGCAAAACTTTGCTACTTTTTTATTATTTTTTCGTTGATTTCATTGAATTCAAATAAATGTGTTTACTGTGTATATATTTTATTACCGAGGCATTGGTCTGTGAGCAACTCTATTTGGCCGTTACTCGTATTGAAACCACTTTTACATGTGCACTTGTACCCACCAACCAGATTGTTACATGTTGCATTAGATG